TCCCTAAAGGAGGTGTTGAAATCTTAAACTCTATTGTTGTTGTCTATTTCCTTTCAGTTCTATCTCTCTGGTATCATTTCCATTCCACCTGAAGAATTTCCTTTAGTATTTCTTATAGTGCAAGTCTGCTGGTGAAAAATTCCCTCACTTTTTTTTTTTTTTTTTTGGTCTGAAAAATTCTTTATTTCTCTTAAGGATATTTTTGTTGTATGTACAAATCTAGGTTGGCAGTTTTTCCTTTCAGCATGTTGAAGATGACATTTGATTGACTTTTGCCTTGTACTGGTTTCTGTTGACAAGTCTACAGTCCTTCATTGTTCCCTTGTATTTAATGTATCTTTTTTTTTTAAAGATTTTATTTAATCATTTGACAGAGAGAGAGACAGCGAGAGAGGGAGCACAAGCAGGGAGAGTGGGAGAGGGAGAAGCAGGCTTCCTGCCGAGCAGGGAGCCCAATGTGGGGCTCGATCCCAGGACCCTGGGATCATGACCTGAGCTGAAGGCAGACGCTTAACGACTGAGACCCCCAGGTGCCCCGTATTTAATGTACCTTTTTTCTGTCTGCCTTTCACGTTTTCTCTATCACTGGTTTTCAGCAATTAGATATGATATATTTAGATGTGCTTTTTTATGTTTCTTCTGCTTGGGGTTTGTTGAGATCCACAGCTCTGTAGATTTATAGTTTTCATCAAATGTGGAAAAATTTCAGCCTATTTCTTCATTTTTTTTTTCTGTATCCCCCCTTTTTGGTTTGACAGTGTGCATAGCTCAATATGAATGGATCACAGTCCTGTTCTGCCTATGACCCAATTTCTGAAAATAGTTATTACATATATCTTGCCCAATTTCTAGTTGTTTACAGTAAGAAGGTAATTCCAGTACCAGTTAGTCTTATTTTTTTAAGATTTTATTTATTTATTTGACAGAGAGAGACACAGCGAGAGAGGGACCACAAGCAAGGGGAGTGGGAGAGGGAGAAGCAGGCTTCCCGCTAAACAGGGAGCCTGATGTGGGGCTCGATCCCAGGACCCTGGGATCATATCCTGAGCCGAAGGCAGACGCTTGATGACTGTGCTACCCAGGCACCCCACCAGTTAGTCTTTCATGGCAGAAGTAGAAATGTCTCTCTCTCTCTCTCTGGTTACTTAAAAAAAAAAACAAACTAATGTCTTCAGTCTTTTTCCTGTTTCAGTTTGATTCATTTATATTGCTATGTCTTCAGGTTCATTGATCTTTTCTTCCGCAGTTTCCAATCTGCTGTTAAGCCCATCCATGAATTTTTGAAGTTCCATTTAATTCTTTAAAAAAAAATCCATTTTCTCTTTATTTTATTCATATTTTTCTTTAAATCCTTGAGCATATTTATAACTCTAAAATGCATGCTTCAGTCATATCTGTTTATATGTCATTTATGCCATTTCTGTTTTGTTTTTTGTATTAGCTGACTTTTCTTTGGATTATGGGCCATATTTTATTCTCTTTTGTATACCTAATAATTTTTATTAGACACTGGGCATTGTAAATACTATGTTATTCAGTGTCGAGGTTTTGTTGTCTTCCTTTAAACAGTGTTGATTTTTCCTCTTTCCTCCCTCCTATCCTCCCCTCCTTCCTTTCTTTTGGCTAACAGTTAAGTTGTATGCATATCTGCCTGATCCTTTGGGGCTTGTTTAATTAAGCTCTGTTAAAATGGGCCCCAAGGAGCTTACACCTATTTTAGCGCTACTAGTAAGCCATGACCCTTGAGGTCTCTCCACTCAGGTAGGCTAGAACTCAGATTCTCCCAGCCCTGTGTAAACTCTGGAAATTGCTAACTTTACAGCTCCCAGAGAATCTTTGCCTGGCCATGTGGAGTCTCATCCTATACATTCTCAGCTTAGTATTCACCAACAGAGTCAAGGGGGCACCTATGCATATTATTTGAGCTCCTTTTCTTCATAGCTTTCTCCTCTCTGACACCCTGTCCTGCAAATCTCAGGCACCTCAGACTTCTTGAACTCATATTTCTGTCTCCTCAACTCAGAATCCTCTGCACTCTGCCTGGGCTTTCCCTCCTTGTATTATAGTCCAGAAAGTGGCTCCAGGCAGAAGGCTGATGAAACCACAGGACTCCTTTGTGTGCAGTCTCCTTTCCACTTTTATTAGGGATCATAGTCTTGTCCTTTCAACAGTGCAGTATCTGACAATGGTAGATGTCTTTCTTTCTCTTATTAATTTTGTTGCTCAAATTGTTTCAGATCTTGTCAGTGGGAACCCTTTCTAGATGGCTTTTTAAAAACAAACAAAAAAAATGTGCTTCTGATATGTCCCCATAGTTTTTTAGGCATTTATATACTTCCTGGGATAATCAGATGTTCCAAGTTCATCTTGTACTTTCCTTGCTCCAGACCCAGAATCAGAATTTTCTATAAGAAGATTTGGTATCTTTCAGTAAAGAATGGTAATTAAAAACCATTTGGTATGTTAACTGTCACTGATATACCACTGCATTCTTGGAGGAGTTGTGGATACTTCAGTGTGTTGGTTACAAGTCCTGTTAGGATGTGAAAAGGCTGTAGCTGTTTGGACCCTATGAATGAAAACCAAATAAACTGTAACTCCTTTCTAGGACAAAACCTCACACTGAGGAGAAACTACAAAACTAGGACAGTACAAATAAATTTAAAAGAAGATCCAAGTAAAAGTGCAGAGTACAGCAGAAAGTACAAGTACATATTTTTATTAACCTGTTTTAACAAGGGAAGAGGGAGCTCTAGAGCTATGAAACTAAAAATGCTACCCTGAGACAGCCCATGCGGGCAAAATACCAAGTTATTTATAAGGGAATGAAAATTAGATTGTTTTCAGACTTTTAAAGAGCAATGCTTTATGCCAGAAGATAATCAGATAATCGACTAATAGAATTAAGATAGTCAAGGAAAGAAAATATAAGGCAAAGATTTCATATATATCCAAACAAACTTGAAAGTATAAAGGCCATAGACAAACTGTGATGATCCTCTCTTTCCTGGGGAATCTAGTAGAGAAGAAGCAGCTTTAGAAAACCACAGTTATTGAAGAAACACCAACATAAGGATTGGTAGTTACATTCGATGTGTATTTACCTACAGAATAAAAAATAAATGATAATAAAGGGGAGAGTGCAATATGTAATGGCTGTTTGTTTTGTTAATATAGACACAGGTCAAGAATTTAAAAAAAAACAGTGAAAATGAGGAAAGCATATATGAAGTGGAATAAGCTTGCTGATTATCTTTGTTTGGGGTAAAAAAATATTATTTCTCTAGTCAGATGATGGGAGAGAAGGAAGGAGTAAGAAGCAATAAGTAGATCATTTAGGAAGGGAGGAAGAACAGAGTATTATATAAAAGTATAAAGATAGCCATTAGAATGAAGATACAAACCTTTCTAAAGAGAGAGATCAAATAAAATGGACTATGTGGTGAAAGGCTTTTTATATAAAAGATGTGTATATGGGTAAAATAGAAAACCATGACAAAACAGAGACTAAAGACATGGATCACATCAATAAATATAAAGAAAGTTTCACACTGGCTACAACATCCAACACTATTTGTAAAACAAAGAGCTTCAGAAAGATGAAAGAATAAAAGTCAGACAAAGATATACCAGGCAAATGCAAAGAAAAGAAGACAGGAGTTGCAATTCTGAAATCCAACCATGTAGATTTACAGGAGGAAATCATACATAAGGAGTTGGATTTAAAAACAAAACCAAAACATTTTATACCATGTTAAAGAGTCTGGACTTGTACTCAATGAGAGACTTTGAAGGATAAACCGTAGATGGACAAGAGTCAGACATGCACTTAAAGACAGACCAGACTGAGGGGATGTGGGAGGTGGGGATGCAGCTAGAACCGGGAAGAGGGCAGACACTGAGGGTCTGCTCCAGGACACATGGTTTGCCCTCATGTTCTCATTTTAATTCTTAGAACTCCATGAGGTGTCTCTTGTTATTCATATTTTATATATGGGGATCCTGAGGTTCAGAAAGATCAAGTAACTTGTCCAAGGATCAGTATTTTTCACCTAGCTCTTTGCCCCTACATATTGTTATCTGTTAAAAAAAAAAAAAGTTCAAGCAAGAAAGGGTGAGCATCTAAGGCAGTGCAGAAGGATTGGTATTTAAGGAGCGTAATTAGGCAGGCTTGGTGATAGATGGGACACTGTTGAAGAGTAAATAACAAGAAAAAGAAATAAAGAATTCCAGAGCCATTGTAAGAGCTACTATCTACCAGAAGTTACAAATATATTGAAAAGGAATACAAACCAGAACATTCTTTTACATCCTTTTACTGTTTACTGCTTTTTATTCTTTCCCAGACTTGTTCTAACTAAAATCTAAGCATACATGGTTTCTTGTTTTGTGTTAAAACACACACACACACACACACTCACACACACACACACAGCATCCTTACAACAACAACAACAACAACAACAACAACCAGGTCCTATGAAAACTACCAAGACTGGAATAGATATACAAACATCTAGATAAAAATTCAACATAGATTACTACAAAGAAGGTAGTGCATTTCCTCCTTTTTTCCTTTGGGGAAGGGGCAGATCTTAAAATAAGTAATGTCCTCATAATTAAGACAAAAATGTTTGTTCTCAGTGTACAAGGCACTGAGAGTGAAAAAAGTTTATTATTTATTCTTACTGAATAAACATTTGGAACTGATTTATAGAAGAAAATTTAGTTAGCAGAATGTACATGGATAGTCTTAAACTCTTAAAGTCTAATGACTGTTTTTAAAGTTACAATATAGAATCTTCTAGTTTTTCTACTTTAAAAACAAAAGCCCTGCATGTCCTTGGAAAACTTTTCTCCTTATCCAATTTGTGTTTCATTCTAGTGCCCCAACTCAGTCTTCCCAATCTGATATAAGATACTCTACTGAATTACTTCTACATGTTTGATTAGTTAAATAAGGATACATTGGCCTTTCTTTTATTCAATCTCATACTTACATGGAATGGTTCTCAAGTAGAGATTATCTCTGATCACTTGCTGCAATTTGTGGTCAATTGATCCTTTCTGAAACTGAAGACTCAGGTAATGTCGCAAATCTTTATTAATGACTTTGCCTACGAAAAAAAACACAGAAGACAGAACACATAACTGTTAGATCTCCAGTTAAATATTGATGGTAGTGACTGAATACCCTTAAACCATTTAGCTATAGACAGGAAAAAGAAATCAGAGTATTTTACTGTATTTTACTAAAAACAACATTGCTTTACTAAAAACAAATTATTATAGTACTATAATTAATAACATATACCTATAGTACATAATGTTGGCATAATTTTACAATAGTAGGGGAAGGACAAGGTATAGGTCAGAGAATATGACAAATACCCAAGATAATTTCCATCTATAGCTTTAAATACCATCTATATACTGATAACTTCTAGGTGCTTATCATGTCTCCATCCCTGATCTATGTCCACCAAGCTCCAGAGCCATCAAACTCATTCGTATACATTGCAAATATAGAAAGTCAAATAAGCACCTCAAATTTCAGACAGCGGAAACAGAACTCTTAATTCCATCCTCCCCCAATTTTTCCTCTGCTCTAGTTTTCCTTGTCTTAAGCAAATAATAGCACCATCAACCCAGCAGAACAGACCCAAAAGCTAGAAGTCATCAGAAGTTTCTGATTTCTCCTTTTCACTTCTATCCCTCAGATCCAATCCAGTAGCAACTTTTGTCAGTTCTATCTCCAAAACATGCCCTATGTCCACTTCTCTCCATTTCCAGAGCCTCCACCCTAATCAAAGCCACCATCATTTCCCATCTCGGATTCTGCAACAGCCTTCTAATCTGTCTCCCTGCATTCATTCTTGCCTCCTTCCTGCTCCCACCACTTACACAGAAGCCAGAGTGAGATTCTGAACATAAACCAAATAATCACTACTCTGTTTAATGCCCCCCACCCCCGCCATGACTTCTTTTTGCACTTGGGATAAAATCCAAACTTCCACATGTTCTAGCTTTGGCCATCTCTGACTCAAACCCATTCACTAACCCCCCACTAGCCATGCTTCCACCCACACTGGCCATCTTCCAAAAGGCCAAATGGACCCTACCTTAGAGCCTTCTGCCTATCACTGACTGAACAGGCATTTTCTGTCCACTCACTTGACTCCTAGATACAAGGTGATTCAATAACAGAATGAAAGATTTTTTTTCTTATTTGTGGGGGAAATGGGAGATAAAAAGAGGACTATTAGAGGTCTCAAAGAAATGTTAAGCAGAAAAATAGAGGATTGCAGAAATCTGATAGCAGTGAATTTATAGTAAAAATTGAACTTAAAATGAAAACCAAAGCAATCCAAACACTGTTCACTAGATAAGACTTCACAGGATTACAAAAGGGCAATGCTAAAACATAATGGATTACTATATTGAGTAAGAAATGACTAGGCAATTAAAATATACTCTTTGTTTTATTTGGAACAGCTTAATTATGACAAGGATAAGTCAAAAGGTTACTACAGATCAGTTCATTCTTTTAACTATTATTCCATGATGTAGCATTTCTAATCCCCCCTTTTGGTCTTTTCTCACAGGTATAAGCAAGCATAACCAAATGAGAGGGTGTTAATAGAAGCAGGAAACCAGGGTGCTGTTAAAGTTTAGAGATAACATTCGGATCCTAAACTAATAAACACAGACCAAAAAGTCTCTGTTTTGCCTTGCCAAAAATAGATGCTGAGGAAGGGGGACCCCTCTCTGATCAAAGAAGAAAGCCTGAAAGATTTTTATAGGGATAACACAGAAGAATCCCTGGTCACAGAAGTGGTTTCTGCCAGGCATTCAGGGGCTCTACCAACCCGAGTTCCATTTAGATGGAATCATATTATGCCATTTCTTATTTTTATCATAGTACTTGTTCTTTGCTGAGTGGAAGAAAAACACAATTCATAATCAATACTGTACAGTCCGAGAACCCAGAAATAGACCCTCAACTCTATGGTCAACTCTATGGTCTCCAACAAAGCAGGAAAGAATATCCAATGGAAAAAAAGACAGTCTCTTCAAGAAATGGTGTTGGTAAAATTGGACAGCCCCATGCAGAAGAATGAAACTGGACCACTTTCTTACACCATACACAAAAATAAACTCAAAATGGATGAAAGACCTAAATGTGAGATAGGAAATCCATCAAAATCCTGTAGGAGAATACAGGCAGCAACCTCTTTGACCTCAGCCACAACAACCTCTTGCTAGACACGTCTCCAAAGGCAAGGGAAACAAAAGCAAAAATGAACTATTGGGACTTCATCAGGATAAAAAGCTTTCGCATAGCAAAGGAAACAGTCAACAAAACTAACAGGCAGTCTATGGAATGGGAGAAGATATTCTCAAAGGACTTACAGACAAAGGGCTAGCATCCAAAATCTATAAAGAACTTATCAAACTCAACACCAAAGAACAAATAATCCAGTCAAGAAATGGGCAGAAGACATGAACAGATATTTCTCCAAAGAAGACATACAAATAGCCAACAGACACATGAAAAAATGCTCAACATCACTCATCATCAGGGAAATACAAATCAAAACCACAATGAGATACCACCTCACACCAGTCAGAATGGCTAAAATTAACCACTCAGGAAACAACAGATGTTGGCGAGGATGTGGAGAAAGGGCAACCCTCTTACGCTGTTGGTGGGAATGTAAACTGGTGCGGCCATTCTGGAAAACAGTATGGAGGTTCCTCAAAATGTTAAAAATAGAACTACCCTACGACCTAGTAACTGACTACTAGGTATTTTTATCCTAAGGATACAAACATAGTGACTCGAAGGGGCACCTGCACCCCAATGTTTATAGTAGCAATGTCCAAAACAGCTAAACTATAGAAAAGAGCCCAGATGTCCATCAACACAGGAATGGATAAAGAAGATATATATATATATAGGCAGCAACCTCTTTGACCTCAGCCACAACAACTTCTTGCTAGACACGTCTCCAAAGGCAAGGGAAACAAAAGCAAAAATGAACTATTGGGAATTCATCAGTTACAATATATATAATATATATGATATATATATATATATTATACACACACACACAGGAATATTGGAATGGAGTATTACTCAGCCATCAAAAAGAATGAACTCTTGCCATTTGCAACGACATGGATGGAACTAGAGGGTATTATGCTAAGTGAAATAAGTCAGAGAAAAACAAATGCCACATAATTTGTGGGGTTTAAGAAACAGATGGGGCTCCTGGGTGGCTCAGTTGGTTAAGCGACTGCCTTCAGCTCAGGTCATGATCCTGGAGTCCCGGGATCGAGTCCCACATCGGGCTCCCTGCTCGGCGGGGAGTCTGCTTCTCCCTCTGACCCTCTTCCCTCTCGTGCTCTCTCTCTCTGTCAAATAATAAATAAAATCTTTATAAAAAAATAATAAATAAAGTTTCATTGGGCGCCTGGGTGGCTCAGTTGGTTAGGCGACTGCCTTCGGCTCAGGTCATGATCCTGGAGTCCCGGGATCGAGTCCCGCATCGGGCTCCCTGCTCGGCAGGGAGTCTGCTTCTCCCTCTGACCCTTCCCCCTCTCATGCTCTCTGTCTTTCATTAAAAAAAAAAAAAGAAACAAAAGAAAAGTAATTCTGCTAGTTCAAGATTATGGAAGCAAAGTAAGAATGGCACATGTCTATTTCTGCCTACAAACAGCTAACATTAACAACATCTTCTGACAGTAAACCTACCTCTTCCTTCCTGTTCCTTTTGCACCAGACACAACCTTAAAAGCATTTTGTGCTCTCTGAAGTATCTTAGCTCCTTTTGAGCTTTGGCCTGTAGAGAAGAAAATTCTTAAATGCTCATTTCTTACAGTCTACTTAGCTCTCTATAAATGTGATTATGTGCTCCTTCCATTTGTCAATCATATACATCTTTTAAAAACAAACGTGAGCTGCTCAGAGCACTCTGTGTCCCCATAAAGAATTTCCTCATATAACTTTTGTTTTAGAAATCTCTAGTTTGGGGGTGCCTGTGTGGCTCAGTCAGTTAAGCATCTGCTTCGGCTCAGGTCATGACCCGGGGACCCTGAGATAGAGCCCTGTGTCAGGCTTCCTGCTCAGCAGGGAGTCTGCTTCTCCTTCTCCCTCTGCCTCTCCCCTCCACTAGTGTGTTCTCTATCTCTCTCTCAAATAAATAAAATCTTTAAAAAAAAGAAAAGAAAGAAAGAAATCTCTAGTCTTGGAACCATACCTAGAGATGTGATAAACTTTTAAAAATCTGTTGTCCTCAATAGCAAAAAGTATGGGCATAACCATGTCCTAGTTCTCTTCTTTACTATGGTGACTATAGGATAGCCTAGTGACTTTCCCCAATAAACTGTTCCATATCACTAGCTCAACACAATGAACGTTACTCATTAGTCCTTTCCCATTAGACCTAGCGGTGTATTTCATTGCTTCCTCCACCTCTTGAGCTCTACAGTAGTAAGAGAAAGCTGCGTGAAAGTGGTTAAGAGGATATACAGAAGCTTAACTCCAAACTGGCTCCTTGGTTAAGGCAGGATGCTCCTAAAACAAAATAAATCAAATGGTAGTCTATCTGTTGTGAAAGTGTAAATGGTATTTGAACAAGTCTTCTCTAGAAAGTCAACCTACACATTTCACTGTAAAATATATTCTATGACACAGAAGTTATTCAAAGTTATTTTTTTAAAGATTTCTTATTTATTTGAGAGAGAGAGCACGCACACAGGTGGGCTGGAGGGGCAGAGGGAGAGGGAGAAGCAGACTCCCTGCTGAGTAGGGAGCCTGCTGCAGGGATGGATCCCAGGACCCTAGGATCATGATCCAAGACAAAGGCAGACATTTAACCAACTGAGCCACCCAGGTGCCCCCAAAATTATCTTATACAGTTGTTAAACATACAAGTTTGTCAGCTGAGGGCCAAGCCATGGTTTGTTTTTACAGAGTTAGTCCCAGTATCTAGCACACAAAATGAGTGGATCAGTTGAATTTTGTACTTCTGATTTTTCATTTGACCCTCTCTATCCTTGAATACATGAAATTTTAGAAGAGAATACTCACCTGATAAAGCACTTTTTAGTAGT